TTTGTGTGTGGAGTTATAGCGAAATAGGTATATACCTAGATCTGGGTTATGTATGAGCTAAGGTGTGGGGGTTTTGTGTTGTTATGTGGGTCTCACAATGAACAATTGTGTGATATGTTGTCTTCTTACTTATTTCCTAATAATAAAATTATAAAACATGTTATTATTCAACTGTGCTTCGATATTTTGTTTCCCTTATGTTTCTCTTCTTTGTTGAAAACGTTAAGCTGATGGTGCAGCAATGATCCCAAATAAATTGCATAAGTCTCAGAGACAATCCCAAAAGTTTTCCAGTCGTCGCAGAAGAAGTCCTAAACATTTTGAATCAGTTGCACTTGAAGTCTCAAAGATTTAAAACAAGTTACAACGAAAGTACAAAACCTTTCACTCAATTCTATCTCAAGTTCTTAACCCTTTGTAAATTTCCTAGATAATGTTCATTGTAAATACGAAATAAAGATTATTTCACTCAATTATATATATATAAAATCTCATGTATGACACTGAATAAGGATTGCAATGCTAAGAACTCTTTTCATCTTTACTTGAAATGTACATCATCAAAAGATCAGTTCAAGTTAATCCATTACAAAAGATCATATACAACACAAAAAGTAGTCGAAGAAAACACAAAAGCTATACAAGCTAAGTTCTTTTTTCCTTTCCCTTCTTCTTCGCCTGTGCCTGAGACTCATTTGATGTGGATGCTTTTCTCTTGCCTCGTGATGTTGGCTGTGATTGTTGCTGAGTATCTGCTTGTAAACTTGGCGGGGAACTTGCATCTATTAGCAATGAGGTTGTACATGTTCTCTTGTGGCCTAAACTCCCACATCTTCTACATGTAATCTTCATACACGTTCTTGTAATTCTTGTACCAGAAGGTGGTTCAACTTATAACTTTTTTCTTATCTTCTTTGATTTGCCTGCCTATTTCTTTTTCATGAATGGATTAAGAGGATGCCTACCAAGTTTTGGTCATAACTCTGGACTGGACATTGGTTGGATTACTGGGCTGTAGGTCCCTAGATAAGCTTACTTGGTGTAACATGCATCAACATACTCATATATGTCAATGTTCCTAGAAAGCATACCAAAGATTGCATGAGCACAGGGGATTAACTAAGTTACCATTTTCTATATGCACATTTCCTTTTTGCCAAGTCCACACTCTATCGTATACCGTCTCTATTGCTGACCTCAAACTTCTCACTACCGGCATAATCAGCCTTCAAGTATCTAGCATCTGCCTTTACTTTTTCAATTATAGCCATAATTCTAGGACCAAAAGCACGATCCTATCTTTGTGCTGCTTCTCTTTTTGTATACATCCTCATCATTTTAGCCATTGCACTCTTCCACTCTGGCACAGTTGTTGCCCTAGCTGCAAACCAGAATAGACTTTTCAGTGTGAGGCCCTTAGGCATCAAAGTGAAGTTAATGTACATGTATCTTGCACAACACCTATCCTCAGCTCCTTTACAGAATTTGACAATAGAATCCACCAAACCTTTTTGTTTATCCGAAATAAAGGTCTAAGCCCTACTGTTATGCATCACAATGTCAACAATCAAAAGTTTTATGAACCATTCCCAATTTCTTTTGTTCTCAACATCCACTACAGCCCATACAATAGGGAACATTAAGAGTTTTCTCCATCAATACCAACTGAAGCCAGTACCTATCCACCTTGTTCACTTTTTAATAAGCATCCAAACAAACCAATCACTGGCCTACACCTTGACCTAAATCCTTATTTGTAAGCCCTCAAACATATGTAACATCTTTTGAATGTGGGCCCTAAACCTTCAATTTGAACCATGCTACCAGTATTAGTTCTTTTCAATTGTTCACCGTAGTCCCACAGTATCTTGTACTGCTCAATTACAAGACCATTAATAACCTCTAAACATTTTGCTCTCGTCCTATAAAATATCTTTTGATATCTCATACATGCAGTCCTCCTTCATTGTCTCAATGAAACTGTTCATAGACAATTTTGGATCTGATTTGAACTTCCGTATGTATTTCTTTGCTAATTACCCAGCATTTACTCTTTTGTTCTGTCCTACCATTGTGCATGTATGTTCATTCTTGAAAGTGTTAATACTGAAACTCTTATCAGGCTGTTAGTAGGCATATAACTCCCACGAACAATTATTATCACACCTCATCCTTAGTCTGGTTACATCATACTTCACATTCTTATATGTCTTGCATTTTTTACTGAATATTGTACCACTGCATCCCTGAGCATCTTTATGTTGTCAAATCTCATGCATGCATGGAATAGAACATGTCAATTGTCTTTGTTATACCATTACTACACTGTATTATAAGAAAGAAAAGACGTACAAAAGATCATTACCTATCTGGAATTTTGGATCTTGCATGTCAGTTGCAGGGTTAAACCAAATCTCATTCCTAGCTCTTGAGAATGAACCCTTTCTTCATTGTCACTTGGAATGTTTACCAGGTCATTGGAGTCATCGAAGTTTGTTCCATCACCATATGCAGGTCCTGTATTACCCTGAACTTCATCCCCCATATTATCAATGTCAAAATCAAGAGGTTCAGTCAACCTAAATAATGCATCTTCATCACTGTCGTCTTCGATAACATTTTCCTCCCGAACATACTCCGGATTACTAAAGTCCTCCAAGTGTCCTTCTTCAAATTTATGGTCCCCATCATGTTGAACTTCATGTTCAACCACAGGTTCTTAAACTTCTAGTCCATTATCAGCAGGAGGCACCACACGTTCCCCATTACTTGGAAAATCCTCCACTATATTTTCCTCACCAGTTGGTACATTATTAGCCTTTAAAACTACAGGTTTATCCTCTGTGCCCTCCACTTCAACTTCAACTGCAGGTTCATGTGGAGTATCACCAATAGTGGGTGCATTATCATCAAGATACACTGCATGTTGGACTGTAGGTTCCTCAACTGTAGCCTCCACTTCAACATCTGCAGGTTTCTCAACCTCATCCATTGTAAAATCTGCAGATTCCTCAACTGTGACCTTCACTTCAACATCTGCAGGTTCATCTTCAGCAGGCTCTACATTTTCAACAACTGCCACACCAAAATTAGTATTACCTACAAATTCACCAATTGCAGCCCCTACACATTTTCCCCAACCTCTTGAGCTCCTGTCCATTCATGAGTATCTCCATCAGTATTATCATCAATGTACTCTTCCACTTCAACATGAGCCTCATAATTACTATCTGTGTCTGCTTGCATTTCATCTATTTCACCTGCACTCTCAACCTCATCTATTGTATACACATCACTCCCACCTACAAATTCACCATACATCTCCACAACATACTGTATATGGTGCCCAAGTTGACCATCATCCTCTACATTCCCTGTTTCTTCCATCTTCTCCAAAACCTCACCCGTGTCAACATCCACGAATGAAATATCATCTCTCACATTTTCATCCCATGACAATTCCAACACTTTGATCACAGGTAAACACCACAACTCAGCAATCATCTTATCCCCAAGCAATCTCACCAAATTCATGAAGTCTGCATCCCTCACCAACCAGAAAAATGCCTCACTAAATCTCTTGTTTTCAACCTTATAGAGAAACCTTATTATTTTGGAGTATCCTAACATCTTCAAAGCATCGTCCAATAAAAATCTATTAAACCAATCCGGATTCACGTAGTCAAGATACCCTACTTTACCATGCCCGTGCACAAAATTACGCATCTTGACGAATAATATACCACCATGGTGTAGTTTATGGTGAAATAAGTAGAATTCTCTTGTAAAACAAATTCAATCAGAGTGATCATCAGGCACAAACCCTAGTCTCATAGTTCATGTATGCATAATGTGAACTCATAGCTATTGCATGTTTTGTGGTACACCCAAATATATAAAACAGTAAAAAAAAACATGCAATATTGCAGTAGAATTAACCACATCACGACTTAGTGCATAATAACGAGCCCGATTATTTTTGGAAATTTGAAAAAAAAAATACTCACAGTATTCAGGAGAAGGAAGATGGCCTCTTATGTGACAAGCAAAATTTTCAATATTATCAGCAGATTCATGGCTTTCTTCACTGGGCATTGTAGATGATGATCGTTTCATCTCTCTCTCTCTCTCTCTCTCTCTCTCTCTCTCTCTCTGTGTAACATGAATTTGTGAGTGGGAAAGAATTGGTTACTTTTCAATTTTTAAATCAAATGAGGAATAATGATTGGATGAAATTGCCCCTCTTTAAAATGGTCAATATACCTATTTTTTAATTTTTCAGGTTAATTGACGGTGTTTTGGACGGTTTCCGTCCAAATGGACCCCAACGGCATATTTATGAAAGGTTATGGATCCAGTCTGGCACAAAATGAAGGTTATGGTAAAGTCTGCAAAAATTGTAAGGTTAAGGACCGCTACTGCAATTTTTTCCTTGTTTTAACTATAAATGTTTTTTGAATTGTCACTCGACTTTTTCAAATGTTTTCATTGCCAATGTTCTTTAAAAGTTTCCCACATTGTAATTGAACTTATGAAATTGTCATTCCATCACTCCTATTTTTAAAAGTTAACGAACTTGATTGTATGATACATGGAACAACATATGAGAACATTTTTCAGTAACTTCATCAAGTCCATTATTTTTTAAAATGGAGAGTGACTGATGCGTTAAAATCTTGATATGTTAAGTGATAACTCAAAAAGCGTTTTAGCATATGTTTGATTTAGCTAAAATAAGATTTATATTAGATTTTGAAAAAAAATGATAAAATGTATGATTAAAAATGAATAAAAATTGTGAATTTCATAAAAATATATAATTGAAAATGAGTTTTAGAAAATTGAAAGTTGATATTTTCCTTATTTTCGTTTAATCATTTGAATTTTTTCCCACGAGAGTTTACCGTCAGCAAAACGCCAAAACCCTGTAATTCCTATAAATGCAAACGCTACGTACACAGGCACGACGCACCAAATTAAAAACATTCATTTCCATCAAAATGAGCAGTCTTTATACATACATTCCTCTCCTATTTGCTTTGTACATGTTCACCAAGCACTTGTTTAACAAACTAAGAAATCTTCCACCAAGTCCCATTCTCAATCTACCCATTCTTGGACACCTCTACCTCCTGAGAAAACCAATTCACAGATGTTTAGCCAAGATTTCTGACAGTTATGGCCCAATACTTCTGCTACAATTCGGCTCCCGCCGTGTCCTGGTGGTGTCGTCTCCGTCAGCCGCTGAGGAGTGCCTCAACAAAAACGATATTATTTTTGCCAACCGCCCAAGCATTACGGCCAGTAGTGACAACACATCCTTGGCGAGCGTTACTTACGGAGGTCACTGGCGAATCCTTCGTAAATTATCTTCCATGGAAATGCTATCCACTCATAGACTCCAAATGCTTCAAGATATTCGTTTTGATGAGGTAAAGGCCATGATAAAAAGGCTGTATCGCATTTCAGAAACGAAGCAAGCGGTTGATATGAAAATCATGTTCTTTGAACTGATAGCGATTGTGATGATGAGAATGATAGCTGGAAAAAGGTATTATTGTGAGAATGTGGTGGAAGTCGAGGAGGCAAAGAAGATTAGAGAGATTACGATTGAGGTTTCTCGGATTATTGGTGCATCAAATATGGAATATTATTTGCCCGTGTTAAAATTGCTGGGAGTCGGAGGGGCGAAGAAGAAACCAATGATATTACAATTCTTGCAGGAACTGGTGGAAGAATGTAAAGGAAGTGCCAATGGCGGCAGCAACAATTTGGATAATTCAGGGACAAATAAAACGATGATTGAAGTGCTGTTGACACTGCAGGAGAAAGAACCTGAGTATTACACAGATGGAATTATCAGAAGCCTCATGCTGGTAAGTTCTCTAATTCAATTTCCCTTTTTCGAGATTTTTTTAATCAACATAGCATGTTTTATTAGCGACAAAAATAAAAATCATACGTTCTGCTAAAGATGGAAAAAACAACTTAACCCTCTAGGGAGTATATTGTAAGAGCTAAAGAAACTAAACTTCATTTGCTCTATCCAATAAGATCTTCATGTTTGCCTATTAGGCTATCTACTAATTCATGAAAAAATCATTGGACATGCATCTAGGTTTTGCTGACAGCTGGGACAGAAACATCAGCTGCAACAATGGAATGGGCACTATCTCTTTTATTGAACAATCCAGAAGTCTTAAAGAAGGCCCAAACTGAAATTGATAATCTCGTAGGAGATGAACGTTTGTTGGAGGAATCCGACATAATTAATCTACCTTACCTACGTTGTATTATAAATGAAACAATGAGAATGTATCCTCCGGCTCCTCTCCTAGTACCTCATCAGTCCTCGGAGGAATGTTTTGTAGGAGGATATCGCATACCAAGAGGCACAATGTTGTTAGTGAACTTGTGGGCTATACAGAATGATCCTAAGATTTGGATGGATCCCAGAAAATTTAAACCTGAAAGATTTGAAGGCCTTGGAGGAACCAGAGATGGATTCAAGTTAATGCCTTATGGTTTCGGGAGGAGAGGATGTCCCGGAGAGACCCTAGCTTCACGTATAGTCGGACTGGCATTAGGATCAGTTATCCAATGCTTTGATTGGGAAAAAGTTGGCAAGGAAATGGTAGACATGACTGAAGGAACTGGAATATCTCTGTCCAAAGGTCGGCCTGTAATGGCTAAGTGCTGCCCCCGTCCCATAGCAACTAAGCTTTTTTCTCCTTAAGTGATAGTGTGTGTTGTGTTGTGTTGTTTATTTAAGTGATATATAGTGTGTGTTGTGCTTGTTTGGAAGCAATCTTATAAGGGAATGGGGTGCTTATGATTTGATTAGTAATGTCTGTGATAAAAGTAAAAATCTCTATGAATGAAACCGTTAAGAAAACTTTGATTTATTTCTTTGACTCGTAGTTTTTTTTTTTTTGAAAGATGATCACCTTCATTATTCGATAATCATTCGTAATATTAGATAATGAAGCTGTGGGATATTTGAATTTATATCCAAAATGATGGACAGATTCTTCAAATTGGACCATTTGTTATTTGCATTCATATGACATAAATTTGTATAATTCTGTTTATGTCTAGTCTAATTAATGACTGTTTATAACCTTTAGTGGGTGTTTGGTGGTGATTAAAATTAGATTTTTAGTAGATTGTGATAAAAGTTTTTGAAATGTGTGGTTCAAAATATGTGGGACCCATGAAAGATATGGTTAATATTGATTGTTTGACTTTAACTTAAATTAAAAATCTGATTTTAATTCGAAACAAACAGAATCTTATATCATTTAAGATTTGTGGTTAATTATAATAAGAAATTGCCAATTGCCAATTTATGTTAATTATATGTTGATCACGGTGTGTTTGAGTCATATTATTTTGGAATAGTAGATTGATGGA